GTGTAGTAGTAGAAGTAGTAGTAGTGTAGTGGAGTACTGTAGTATAGTAGTAATAGCCCACCCCCAACTCCTCACAGTATACTATGGTCGTAAGAGGAGTAGTGTTAAAGTCGCATAGTAGTAGATCCAACCTCACCTCCACGTTGTACACTATGGGCATAGTAGTGTATTATTATTATTATTATTATTTGTAGTAGTAGTAGTAGTAGTAGTCGTAGTAGTAGCAGTAGTAGCAGCAGTAGTAGTAGTTTTAGTTCTTTTTTTTTTTTTTGTTTGTTTGTTTGTTTGTTTCATTCATGAAAGATGAATACAAAATAATTATGTTTCATACATCAATGTGAATGAAAAGGAGCAGAAAGAAGCATACACTTGTAATATATGCCTCCAGTAGTAGTAGTAGTAGTAGTAGTAGTAGTAGTAGTAGTAGTAGTAGTAGTAGTAGTAGTAGTAGTAGTAGTAGTAGTAGTAGTAGTAGTAGTAGTAGTAGTAGTAGTAGTAGTAGTAGTAGTAGTAGTAGTAGTAGTAGTAGTAGTAGTAGTAGTAGTAGTAGTAGTAGTAGTAGTAGTAGTATATTAGTAGTAGGAGATCCAACCTCACCTTCACGTGATACACTATGAGCACAGTAGTGTCGCAGTAGTAGTAGTAGTAGTAGTAGTATTAGTAGTAGATTTTTTTTTTTGATGTTTGTTTCATTCATGGAAGATGAATACAAAATAAATATGTTTCATACATCAATGTGAATGAAAAGGAGCAGAAAGAAGTATACACTTGTAATATATGCCTCCAGTAGTAGTAGTAGTAGTAGTAGTAGTAGTAGTAGTAGTAGTAGTAGTAGTAGATCCTTGTCTGTTGCAGGTGTTCTCAGTTTGATTGACTGTTGGAGCTGGCAACTTCTGCAACACACAAAGAGAAAATGGGCATGGGCGCAAAGTGGTTCCATCGACTCTGGTTCCAATTGACTTGTGTCAAAAAATCGTGGCCCCTTTCCATGTAACTGCGGGGCTCATCATTCTTGTGTTAAAATGTTCGTGCTGAACCTGCTCTACATGATCCCTGTTTTTATTCACTAATTTCTCCATAAATCAAGATATGAACATTAATAGCATGAGCAATCAGGAGCTCAAGCACACAATATTATCAAAATAAACATGGCAATGCTGATGGACGTACTTAGCCTATTTTAGCGGACAAAAAAAAAGAACGGGTGAGGGAAAAACTTTAAGCATTTGTGAAGAGAAGTCAGCGCATTTGTCTCAACTGGACTTAACTTGAGTTTGAGTTCTTGGCCTGTTCCACTGTTCAGACACTTCAGCTGATCAGATTCTTTTCCTGAGAGATGTTTGAGAATGATGAGTTGAAGTGATGCTTATATCAATCAGGCTATTTTTATGACCATGCATTTATCATTTGAATGTACTCATTATAAATATTTAGTTAGTACATTTTTGACATCCTTCCTCCACCTCGGACTGCCAAGCCATATGCACATGAAAATACCCAAATGTGAAATACAGCCTGTGAAATACGACACTGTCAGAGCTCTCTAAATTTAGCCCCATGAAACAAAGTGTTTTCAATGATGTTTTTACAGCGACTGCAGGGCCCGAGCAGGCGCCAGGGTGAGCCTTGTAAGACATACGCGTCTCCTGGGGCCACATTAAGAGATACAAGGTCCCTCTGCTTAATTAGAGGCAAAAACAATGTGCTAGAGAGGAAACCTGTGGTGTGTGGAGACTGCGCTAATAGATAAGAGTTTGCTGTCACTTGGGTGAAGGTGTAAACAGGACTTAAGTGGAGAGGTCTGGGCTGTTTTGAAGGAAGTTTTAAGGGTATTCCAACAATGCGTGTCTGAATGACACCAGCTCAGGGGTCAATGCTCTGTCTTTCATCGTGAACAGTGCATATGCTTCCCAGAACTTTCGCTCTGTCCATCCATCCATAATCCTCACTTTAAGCCTGACTGATTTCCTATAATTGGATTGATTTACTTTTACACATTTGGAAGACATGGCAAAACGTTATCCCTGCACATAGTGCCTCCATGGACTCGCAGCTGAATTCCCAATTTATTACTGTACTTAAAAATATTAAACTTAGGAAGGCTGTAGGAAAGCATCATATACATGTAATACACTTTACCCAGCAAACAAATAAATACATGAAATAAATAAATAGATACATTTTAAAATAAATACTTTTAGTAGTAGTAGTAATAGTAATAATAGTAGTAGTAGGAATAGATCCAATCCCACCTCCACAGGGGTAAACTATGGGTATAGTAGTAGGATTAATGTAGACTTCTAGTAGTAGCAGTACTAGTACACCTCATTTTAAAAAGTTATTCATTTTATTTTATTTTATTTTATTTTGATGGCCTAACTATATTATTTGACTCTTTTTTTTTTTTTTTTTTACTTATGCTTCTCTATGTAATAACTTGGCTTTGGGCAAAATCAGGAATAACATATCTTGCATAGTATTTTTTTTTTTTTTTCTACAATTTTCAGTGGTACATTATGCATTTGTTAATATTCATGTACTTTTCCATGGTCTCTTATATGAATTGCAGACATGGTCATGATCTATACCTCGTGTTCATTTTTTTCTCTGCAGGATTTATTGGGGCGAACAATAGACAGGATGCAAGACCCAAATGCAACAACAATCCCAAGTCAAAAGTCAGAAAGCAAGATCCAGGAAAATCGACTTGAGTCCTGTTTCCTGTCAGCACGGTGGGAGGGCCGTCGGTGTCATAGTGGTCCTGATAAGAAAACAGCCAGGTGAATTCCTCTAAAACACAAAAAAGAGTGGAGACATTTGATTTGAAAAGCTGAACTGTATGCTACCTTGAAATAACAAATATTGGTTTAATATTCCAATCCATTCATCCACATCTATGGAACCTTTCCGGAGGGGGATATGTCATGTGTTTGTTCCCATAGTGATAATATTGCTTTGGCTATGTTAAACGGTTTGGAATTAAGCTTATATACAGAGCAAGAATGATTAGCTTTTTCAGTTCTGATACCAGTACTTTGACTTTAAGTATCTGCCAATATCCATATAATATAAACCAGTACCAGTGTATGGATGGAAAATGGTAGCCTGATTCATCAACCGGTTTCACTTTGTAGAAACTGTCTGACCTTGCAGTGTTAGAATTCATTCGCTCGACGGTAGGCAGGTACTTTTTATCATTTAACCAGTCGCTGCTATTTGGTCATGACGTATGTATCGAGCCCTCCAAGACCTTTAATCTGGCCCTCGGCTGATTTTCTACTAAAATATTTAAATTATATTTTCTATTAAAATATTGGTAATTTTCTGCACCGCTTAGCATAGCAGCATCTCCAGCGCCTCCCACCAGAGCAGCAGAAATGAAGATTTGCCTCTTTCCAAACACTCTTAAAGACTATCATTTTGACTGTTGACTGTGACACCCTCATCAGCAAAATGGCAAAAAATGAAAAAAATGGACACCAAGTGCAGGATTTTCCAAGAAAATTGACTTATTCCTATTTACATACAAGTTAATGTTAAAACAATGTGTTGAAATTGCATTTTTCTTAAAGTTTCAGATTGTTCATAATATTATAATATTTTGTAAAAGAAAGAGTTCATCAATTAAAAAAGATTTCTGTAATAGATTTCCGTTTCTCTGCACAAATATTTGAACTTATTGCTGTTTTTGGGGTATATATGCCATGAGTTTTCTGATCCAGCCCCTTTGGGATCAAAGTAGGTTGGACCAAAATGAGTTTGACAGCCCTGGTCTAGTGTATTCCGATTCCTGACCTAGTCGCTAGAGAGAAATGAAATTGAGCGGAGGTACTAGGTGGAACCAGCATGGCACTTATTTCTTCAAAACACAGTTAACTTTTTACATAAGAGATCCAATAGTGTTATATAACTGTTATCCTTCAAATAACTAGGTCAAAGTCAGTCTGTAATTAGTCTTATTACATCCAATTCCAGGATTTCGTCTTCAGATGTAGCTCATTTTTCAGTTTCAGTGTCGTATCGCTGCATGCCTAATAGAGAGAGAGAGCAGGTGACACCTCAAGGCCAAGTTACAGGTCAGATCTATAGAAAGCCATGTCCATTCATAGTAAGAATACATTTTGCAGGGTATTTTTAGTAACCTATAATTCATTAAATGCAAGATACATACATTTGATTATATGCTGTGGAACATTCCAGGCAAACCAATAAATAACATGTCCTTGGAGACCAGTGAGGACGGGCTCTGCACCTAAAAAGTTCCACAATGCCCTTTAAATGACTTGACTTTTGAACGACAATCTTACGTTAAGTAGCTGTAGTAGTTTTAAGTACTGTATATGTTTTTACTGATTAGATTTTCAGTAGCCATGAAGTTGTAGTCAAATGGACACAATGAACAATTTATACGCACAGCAATTATTTAAATAACATAATTTCTTAAGCAAACAACTAAATATACAGAATAGTTTGTTTAAATTATACTAACCCTGTACTTTAGACCTCTACAAATATTTTGAAATGCATGAGAGTCTTGTTTTAGTTTAGTCTAGTAAAACAAGTGAAATACTCCCAATTGAATAAAGTTTGAAATTCGTTAAATAAAAATGTTAAAATATTTCTTTTGTGTTTTTTCTTTTAGACGATTTACTATTCAGAAGCCCCAAATATAGAAAATACATAGAAGGGCAGGCAGGAGTTAGCTTGGGGCGAAGAAAACAAACATAGCGAGGGACAAGAGTGAGCGAAAGTTACAGAAACAAAAGTATTGCAACAGATGGGGCCTGGAGTTTACCTTGGAAACAGAGGAACTTCTGGTCATGGTGTTGGGGAGGTGGGATTTTTTTTTTTTTTTGTTAGTGAAGGGGCGTGTGTCCAGCCATTCTCAAGAGACTGATGAACAAGGAGGAGCGGAGGGGGTCTCACACTCCACTCAACCGAGGGGAAAACAGATATAAACCAGCCCCTGTGGAGAGCCAGCCGGTCAGGCAAAGCGAGGCTGTCTACTCTCTAAGTGAAGGCAGATCAGAGCTAGCGATACCTCCCTGGAACTTTTCTTCAGATGGATTGCAAAGTTTGAGGATTGATTTTTCTCTCATATCAAGACCAGCGTTCTGGATTTAAATTTAACCCAACTGACTCTGACTTTTCTTCAACGCAAAAATGGATGTCTCATTTTCGCCTGACAATCAAACTTTTTTCGATGAGCATTTTTACGTCGGGGGGAAACCACAGTGCGTTCAGCATCACCGTTGCGATCTTGTACCTCATTGTATGTATCATGGGTCTAGCCGGGAACATTTTGGTCATAACCGCCATTTTGAAACTAGACAAGCTTTCCTCTTCGACAACGGTGTATATTTTCAACTTGGCGGTCGCCGACGGACTTTTCATGGTCGGACTACCTTTCATCGCCAGCCAAAACTTCCAAAATGCATGGATGTTTGGGGACATCGCTTGCAAGATCGTCATGGTGCTGGACGGCATCAACCAATTCACGAGCGTCTTCTGTCTTACCGTGATGAGCGTTGATCGGTATTTGGCGCTATCAAACCCTCTACGGTTTGCCAGCTGGAGGACTCCGCGTTTCGCCAAAATCGTTTCGGCGATTTTGTGGTTCTTCTCGCTGCTCACGATTCTCCCGATGGCGTTGCACTTCACCGCCGAGCAAGGACAGTGCATGCCGGAACTAGCTTCTGACGCATGGTGGCTGGGCGTTCTCTCTTATACCTTCGTGATGGGGTTCGCGTTGCCGTTCACGGTCATGACTGCTTCCTACACGGCGCTGATATGCACCTTCAGATCGCAGCGTCTCCGAGCAACTTCGCTGAATCAGGAAAGTCAACGGATGGAGCGGCAAGTTACGAAAATGGTAGTCGTCGTGGTAGTTGTTTTCGGGATTTGTTGGTTGCCGTTTTACACCTTTAACTTCTGCTCGCTGTATCAGGTTGGACTGGTGCAAAATTTCACCAGAGCTTTCGAAGTGGTGGTGCTTTTGTCGTACTCCTGGAGTTGCGCTAACCCCATCCTCTACGCGTGCCTCTCAGACACGTTTCGGCGTCACTTCCGAGCGCTCCTCTGTCCGGGTCATAAGTCATCTCCCACAGTGCAATGCAACACGGAACATTATGACCTGAATGACACACACCTACCGGATATTACCATTCTTTCATAGACTGTAAGAGACTAAATATAAATTGTTGTATAGATATTCTTTATTTGGCTACTGCAACTAGGGAGGTGTAGTACTACTCACAATACACCGCCTTGCAGTAATTGTAGTATTTGTATATAGCATTTTTGTGAAATATTTAAATGTATAGCACAAGTTATCATGGAAAAGTAAAGTGAATTATTATAATGCCTCAAAATTGGGTTAAAATAATTCTTATATGATCTGTATTCAGTTACATTTACTTGAGTAACTTTTTTAAAGAAATTGTAGTTTGCAGAGTTGTTTTCTAGCAACATACTTTTATCCCTGCTTCAACCATATTTTATTGCAGTAACAGTACTCTTACTTGAGTAAAAGTTGTGGTTACGCTTCCCACTACGAGTGAGTCAACAAGAGGTTTTGTCCATCCAGTGACATTAACTGTCAATCAGATGTTATGTACTCTTACTTGAAGAGTAGTTTTCCCAAATACTCTTACTCTTTTTTTTTTTTCTTGGAACATCACTTTGTACTTCTACTTGAGAAATATTATTTTGTTCATTCAGTAATGATCTTTAAGCAGTGTTCAGAGAGAAGTCAATATTACTGAAAATTAACAACTATAATCATAACTTATACAACATTCTTTGGCATAGGTCTTAAGATAATTTTAAAGAAGCACTACGTAACTTTCCTGATTGGCAGTCTTGCAGCAAGCCAAGTTACAGTTCAGATCTGAGGAGAGGCGAGCACACATATGAATAATGCATACTTCAATGTGTTTCTTGAGGGTATAAAACTCATGCAGTTAAATGCAACACAGTACGTTTAATGCCATACTATGAAACATTTCAAACAAAGCAATAACATCTGCATAGACACTAGAAAGGTTATATAGTTTACCTTGAAAGCTTCCCATTGTTTCACATAGAGACAACTTTGAAACTGTTTGTTGAAACTACTGTTACACTTAGTATTCATTCGCAAAAGAAAATTGAAATTCTGTTAACTGGACAATTTTTCTTCGAGAGTGAACACATTTCGCAACTCATTCAAGCAGCTTCTTCGGTTGTTATTCTTTCTTTTATATCTGTAGATGCCGCAACAACTCGCTCACTATAATTTCAATTTCTACCACTACGGCGTCAATATTTTGAAGATCTTGAATACATTTTCTCCCATCCCCTTCTCTCTCTTTCTCTGCCTCCTCTCCGAGCTAATGAAATGCAACTGCACCGGGGTGAGGAGCGGTCAAATGCTAATGGTAAACTGAATGAAACGGGTAGATATTTGGAAATAACAGTATGCAGCATTGATGTGATGTTTGTGAAGGAGTCGGCTCTTTTGAACAGTTCCTTGAAGGTGCGTTGTGTAACTTTTCTGGACGAGGGTGCTTTTCTCCAAATGCTTTTCTCCAAACGCTTTTCTCGATGCAGATGTTATTGCTTTGTCTGGAATGTTTCGCAATATAGTATTAAGCCTTTCTATCGTCATGGAGACCAAAACAGACCAAGTTAAATGTTAGATCAGTGGAAAGGCGACCCCGCTCACAGCCATAATGCATGTTTTTGAAGTATTTCTAAACAATAAAACCACCTAAAACCTTGAATAAATGTCAAATAGAGCTGTTTAATGTCATACTGGAACATTCTAGGCAACGCAATGACATCTCCATAGAAACAAGCAGGTAACAGACCCCCAACCAAAAAGGTGCATTGTGTAACTTTTCTAGTAGAGCCTCTGCCACCTACTTGTCTCCATGTTAAATATATTATTGCTTTGTCTGAGTGTTCAGTAGTCAAGCTTTCTATCTCCATGGAGACAAGAATGCTACTAGGCGAAGTTATGGGTCAGATCTCTGGAGAGGCAAGCCCTCCTCAAGTAAAAACGTATGCTTTTTCATTGTATTTTGAGCACTAAAAAATACTGAATGGATAAAAATTCTCAGTAAAGTGTTGACTCATGCAAAAGCGATAACAAATGATAACATGCAGTAGTGTAATCTCAACCAGAAAAGTTGCGCAGTGCATCTTTAACGTTTAACAGCTGCAACTGGATCCAATTTCTTTCTAATTTCTGTGCATTTTGAACCAACACATAAGCTGAGTAGGCAATGTGAGTGATAGCTTTGTGCACAAAAAACACATTTGTCATCATAATAACAGTTTTTTAAATTGCTATTATCAATATGGTGCAACATTTTATTGAGATAATGCACAATTAAAGGGTAAAAAACACTCCCACTCACAGTTTGAATCATTTTAAAAACATCTCAGTCTTGGTCATTTTTCTTTGCGATAAATTTGTACTTAAAAATTTATTGTCACATTGGCTTCTGTCCTATGAATAAACAGTAACAGATTTGGATCTCATTAAAGAGCCGGAAGTCCCAACATGGCACGTTTTCAAGAGGCAAAGGTGGACTGTACCCGATGATATGGGGGTATTCAAAAGGATCATAAAAAGGGATTGTAATGTAAATGCAACATGAAAAAAAGTGGGTTTATTCCTTATTACGCTGATCCTGTTTGAGCTTAAAGTTACTGTACATGACTTTTACTGTCTTTCTCACGTACCTTATGCATTTTGCGCATCCTAATTATTCACTGCCATGAGTTTATAAGTGACAGTAAAGCTAACAACAACTAGCACTTTCTGATTATCTGATTATCAGTTTCAGATTCCTGTTATATGTGAACATAGGTTACACATAGGTTATTCAAAGAGTAAAATATCTTGTTTAAATTCTTTATCACTATGCTAACAGGTCTAATTTTCAACTCTGTATTTTTTTTTTTCTTCACTTCACAAAAATTACGCAATTCTATGAAGTAACCACTTGTTTTGTCATTTTAGTGTTCTTAAATGACTTTGCGTTGAAGAATCTATCTGGTAGCATTTTGGTGACAATAACTATGATGCTGATTTGTCAATAAATATGCCTCCTAGAATAGAAGGTGATAGGAGTTAGCTATGGAGTGCAGATTACACTTGTTGTGATGTATTATTTAACAGATACATATGTACAGGTATGCAAAACTATATGATTATTATGATTATTGAGAAGATCTGTATGACAATCTATGGCTTTTTATATGGGAATATAATATATTACAAACGTTTCTACGTAATTTGCTATTGTGATTTTGTACTAAAATTTTAAATAAAAACACAAAATAAATAAACCATTTATTTCACATTGTATGATGTTTTGATTCTACTGATTCTACAAGCAGTGGCGAAGTTAGCAATTTGGGGGCCCTAGGCGAACTTGAATTTGGGGCCCTCACTCTAATGCATTTCATCAGGGGTTGTTTTTAGATTTTTTAAATATTTATTGTCTGTTTTTCACCATTATTCATGAGACATGCACATCTTTATTTTAGTTATGGTGGATTGGAAACTTGTCTTATTTGTTAGGTACTAGATAACCAGAGCTGAAAGTAGTTTTATTTATTTATATATTTATTTGTTTTTGCTAGTACAATTACATTTTTGTTTACATCAATTACATGTGATTGTGCTGTGATTATGTTCAAATCAGGGTCACACTGACGAGTCCACTTTAATTTGGAAGGGGGGGGAGCTTCGACAGTTAAAATAGATTGGGCAATCAGATACTGTTTTGTTTGTGTTTTCTTATTTAAATATAAACTACTCTCATTTAATTTCATACTGAAAGAAAATCAAATTGCTCTGAGGTCTCGCCCATTATTGGCACTGAGGGTAATTGGTTGAGGGCCCCTCCAGGTTCGGGGGCCTTAGGTGGCCGCCTACTGTTGCCTAATGTTAGCGCCACCTCTGTCTACAAGTGAAAGCCAACAAGTGAGTAAAGGCCAGCAAGTATTTAAAATGGGTACATTTCATACACAATGTCATGTAAAAGGAATGTAATTGGTATTGTTTAGATTGAGAAGATTTCAAAAATGTACAATTAAAGAACACAATATTATTGATTCCTTTGCTTAAGAAATGTTCCTTAGTATGACATTCAACTTATCTATCTCCATGGCAAGCTTGCGATGTTACCAGGAAGATCAGACCTGAGAAGTGCTGAGTCCACTTATATTAAAAATGTTTTTCAATTTTTTTATTTTTATAAAAGCACCCACAAGTTTAACGCTATACTACGGCACATTGCAGGCAAAGCAATAACATTTCCATGGAAACAAGCAGGCGGCAGAGCCTTCACCAGAAAAGTTCCTTGGTGCACCTTAAAAAATTATCAAATCTAAAATTTGTGTTTGTTTATCACATTTGAAACCAACCATTCCACAAAAAAGCATATACATTCAAGCACACTCACTTTCGCCCCCTACAGGCTTAAGGTCAACAACACTGTGAAGTTGACGCACTGCTCTAATCTGTGCGATACTCCAAAATACCCTGACCTTCTCTTTGAGCAAAACCACAGCGCTGTCTGAAAAGTGTGCCTTCCAGGGCTGCAGCCGACCGAAAAGACTGCAAGAAATGTCAGGTGTCTTTTCAGATAACAGAGAGAGACGCACAAACGAACCCAAACGCAAAATGTTCTACTGAAAACTCCCACAGCGCTAAGAAAAATATGTGTCCTATATTACACTAAATGGACTCTTGTGAGCTTTGAGCCATGTCATAATGTTGTTACCTCATCAAAAACATACAGTACATGGAGCTGTGTTTGGTTTCATAGATCTGTGTACATCTTCAAAGCTCAAAATGCTCTGTTTTACCTTGTGATGTCATGAAGAGGTAGTTTTCAAGATAACAGCTACATTTTGCCTTTAGTTCAGTAGAGATTAGAAATTCAAATGTTTCCAATACACTGCAAAAAATTCAGTCCAGGTAAGTTAAAATTATATAAACTAAGAACATTTTACTTTATTTGAGCAGATTCGACTGCCAATGAAATAACATTTATTTTCTTTATTGAATCAACATAAGTGTTTTCTTTCTTTCTTTTTTTAATAATTTTTTTCATTGTAAGTGCAAAGAGTTTGTTGTATTTATCGTACTTAATTAAAATCAGTTTTATTTTTGGGAATGTCAGGGTTCCCACGGTCATGGAAATCCTGGAACATGTCATTTTCCAGGCCTGGAAAAGTAATGGAATTTTATAAACTCAATGAAATTTTTGGAAAAGTCATGGAATTTTAGTATCTCTTTCACACAACTACAGCTTTATGTTAAGTTATTTTTGAAT